GTGGTTTGTGGTGATGGTGGTGGTGGTAGTGGTGGTGGTTTGTGGTGGTGGTGGTGGTGGTGGTGGTAATGGTGAGTTGTGGTGGTGGTGGTTGTGGTGGTGTGGTGGTGGTGTGGTGGTGGTTTGCGGTGGTGGTGGTGGTGGTGGGTTGTGGTGGTGGCGGTGGTTTGTGGACGTTTGTTGTGATTGTGGTGGTGGTGGCGGTGTTGGTGGTGGTGAGGTGGTTTGTGGTGGTGGCGGTGGGTTGTGCTGCTGGTAGTGGTTGTGGCGGTGGTGGTGGTGCGTGGTAGATTGTGGTGGTGGTGGTGGTAGTGGTTGTGGGTTTTTGTGGTGGTGGTGGTGGTGGTGGTGATGGTGAGTCGTGGTGGTGGTTGTGGTGTTGGTGGTGGTGGTGGCTTTGGTGGTGGCGGTGGTTGTGTGGTGCTGTTGGTGGTGGTGGTGTTGGTGGGTTTAGGCGGTGGTGGTGGTGGTAGTGGTGGTGGTGGTGGTAGTGGTGGTAATCGTCGCTGCGTCCCCGCCGTCGCCGGCGCCAGCGCCAGTGCTGCTGGCCGCCGCCAGCGCCGGCGCCGGCGCGAGTGGGGTGGGAGGGATGGACCCCCCCCGCCCCTTGGGCTGCCTCTGGTCATCGTCGCTGCGTCCCCCCCGCCGGGACCGGCGCCGAAGGGGGCGGGGTGGTTGAGGGGAGGGGAGTCCCCCTGGTTTTGATCAACGGCGCCAAGTGTTGGGGGGGGGGCCCGCCACCCAGTTTGAAACGCGCCGCCGAGTGTTCCCAAGGCAAGCGCACATGAAACGCTATCTCTCGTATGTACGTATGTATGTATGTATGTATGCATGTATGTATGTATGTATGTACGTACGTACGTATGTACGTGTGTAGTTGTGTATGCATGCATGTGTGTACGTATGTACACATGCATGTATGTATGGATGTGTGTATGTATGTTTGTATGTATGTATACAGATATGTATGTATGCATGCATGCACGTATGTATGTATGCATGCTGTATGTATGCCTGTCTGTCTGACTGGCTGGCTGGCTGGCTGGATGGCTGGGTGTATGGATGCATGCATGTATGTACGCACGCATGTGTGTTATGCATGTATGTATGTTGGTAGGCAGGTATCTGTGTACGTAGATGTGTGTAGGCGTGTCTGTATGTATGTATGGATGGATGGATGTATATATGTATGTATGTGTATATGGATGCCATGTATGTGTGTATGTACGTATGTCTGTATGTATGCGCTCGTGCATGCATGCATGTCTGTAGGCATGCATGCAAGTTGTACGTGTGTACGTATGTATGCATGTATGTATGTATGTAGGTAGGTATGTATGTATGTGTGCAGACATGCATGTATGCAGGTAGGTAGTTATGTATGTATAAATGCACGTGTGTATGTACATGTGTACGTCTGTACGTTTATACGCATACATGTATGCATGCGTGTGCGTATGAAATATATGTATGCTTGGGTGTATGCATGGTTGTATGTTTGTTTGTATGCATGTATGCATGCACGTACGGATGGATGGATTGATGCATGTATGTGTGTGTGTGTTGTTTTGAGTGTGTACACACATACATACACATGTACATCTATGCATGTGTGTATATATATATATATGTATATGCGTGTGTATGTATCAAGTACCGCCCCCTCCCCCCGGGGTTCGGTCAAGTTTGCTACCATCGCGGCAAATCCCCGGTACCACCCCCCCGGGCGTCCAAGGGAGCCCCCGGAGGGTCTCAAGACTGCCCAGGACGCCCCCGAGACAGCCAAAGAGTGTTTCAAGGCTGTTCATGCTGGCCCCCCGTCGGGTCTGGAGGCCCCCAAGAGTATTCAAGATCGCCCCAAGAGGCTTCCAAGAGTCCCCCAAGAGCTCCGGGGAAGCCCTCGAGAGGCCAAAACCATTGAATAAGCGATAGATAATGAATAGTTTTCTGTTTTCTCGCACTTCCGCCTCCGACAGGCTTCCGAGGCTTGCGCATGCCCCACAAGAGAGCTCCAAGAGGTTCCCAAGAGGCGCCGCGAGCGGCGCGAAGTGACCCCAAGAGGCCACGCGAAGGAAGGGGCACCTCCGAGGCCCCAAAGACTTTCCGAGCAGGCCCCAACGAGCTCCCAGGAGCCGCCTCAGAGGTACCCAGCACCGAAGAGGGCCCAGAGAGGCCCTCAAGAGCTCCCAAGAGGCCCCCGGGAGAGCTCCAAGATGCCCCCAAGAGGCGTCCCTAGCGGCTATTGGGGGCATGCGCAAGCCTCGGAAGCGCATCGGTGGCGGAAATGCGAGAACACAAGAACCATACATATTTTTCAGGTTTTACCATGATTCTGGCCTCTCGAGGGCTTCCCCGGAGCTCTTGGGGGACTCTTGGAGGCCTCTTGGGGCGATCTTGGGTGAGCCGACGTGGAAAAGAAGGGAATTCCCTCGATTTTTTGTTGTTCAAGCTCGCCCACCACCCCCCTCCGTTCCTTCCTGACCCAGGCTTTGGCGTGCCCCAGAGTGCGTTTCCGTTTTCTCCATCTTTCGCTGTCCGTTCTGTTTGCTTTCTCTTTTGCTTTTGGTTTTCCTCCGTCTCTCGTTCCACATCCTTCTCCTTCTTCTCCTCCTTGTTCCTCCCCGCTGCGTCATTTTCCCGTCTCTCCTTCACGCCTTCCTCTCTCCGCCTCCCTCATGCGTTTTCATCTCCCCCATTCCTCAGGCTCATCTCTCCTTTACTCCTTCTCCCTCCTCCCTCCGCCTCCCTCACCCAGCATCCTGCTCTCAACTATGTGGCGGGTCGCCCAGCTTGAAAAAAAGAATAATTATCTCACATCCTTTTTGTTTCAGGGTCTATCCCCCCTCCGCTTCCTCCTGTCCCAAGCTTTGGCGTGCCCCCGAGTGCGTATCTGGTTTCCACATCCCTCGCTGCCCGTTCTTCCTGATCTTGCTTTCCTGCTTTTGTTATCCCCCGTCTCCCGTTCCACATCCTTTTCTTTTCTCTCCCACTTCCTCCTTTCCTACGATGTTGGCCTCGCAAGGGCTTCCCTGGAGCTCTTGGGGTACTTGGGGGCATCCTGGGGCGATCTTGGGTGCTGTTGGAGGCCTCCAGAGCCAACGTGGGAAAAAGGGGATTCCATCAACCAAACTTTTTTTTCAAGCTCGCCCACCCCCCTCTCCGTTCCCTCCTGGCCCAGGCTTAGGCGTGCCCCACAGTGCGTTTCCGTTATCCCCATCCCTCGCTGTCCGTTCTCTTTGATCGTTCTGTCTTGCTCTTGGTTCTCATCCGTCTCTCGTTCCGCATCCTTCTCCTTCTTCTCCTTTTTCCTCCCCGCTGCGTCATTTTCCCTCCTCCCTTCTCCTCGTCTCTCCTTCACGCCTTCCTCTCTCCGCCTCCCTCATGCTTTTTCGGCTGTCCAACGCTCTCAGACGGCTCAAGAGGTCCCCAAGACAGCACCATGACAGCCCAAGAGGTCCCAACGACGGCCCGAATACGTCCCAAGAGAGCGCCAAGACGGCCCAAGAGGCCGCCAAGACGGCCCAAGAGGCCCTCAAGTTGGCCCCAAGACAGGGGCAAGATCGCGGATCCAAACCGACATTTCGAGCCCAGACGCCAAGAACCCCGGAGAGGCCCCCGAGGCGCCCCCAAAAAGTCCCAAGAGGCCGCCAGGAGACCCCCAGCAAAAACCGGAGAGACCCCACCCCCCAGAAACCCCCAAGAGCCTTCCAAGAACGTTCCCCAAAGGCGTCCAAAGAGACTCCCATCATGGTTTCGCCTGGCTCTTAGGGGCTCTCGGGCATCCCCCCTTAGGCTGCCCTGGGTCCTCCTCGTGGCTGCCTTGCGCGACCTCCTGGAGCCTTATTCAGCGACTCCTGAAGCGTCCATCAGGAAGTACGCTCTCATGATGGTGATCCTTGCGGGATGATGTCCATCCCCATCTGATCCTGTGAGGTTGGCTTGTACTGCGCTAGAACCTATGAGCGCGCGAAGCGCGCGCGCGCGTGGTACTAGTGTATGTGTACATAGAGACAGATTACACTACTGCAGCTGCTGGACTGCTGGACTCGTCCTGCTTGACTTCTTGCACGACTTCTCGAGCCCTGTATAGTGCCTGTTTGGTCGAGACAACATCTGTACACCCTGGTCGATACACATCTAGTTGTGCGCAGGTGGGCCCATTGGCGGTGTGCGGAGCTGTCGGGATTTGTTGAGATGCTTGGCGTAGGGGGGATAATATATATATATATATATAGACACATACATACACATGGTATGGGCAGGTTGGTCTGATCCTATTCGTTTATTTTTTTGTTCCCGCAAAACCAGAAGAGTCGTTTTGGAATGCCCACACAACTCCGTAAGCATACCTATACGAATCCACCCAGAAGCCATCGGATACGCTAGGAATACACATTGAAAGCCCTGGGGACAACCTGGCCGTGCAGTAGCAGATCGATGGCCCGCGGGTGTTGGAATTGCCCGTCTTTTGCACGCATAATGCGGACTGTCACTATTACTGGTTGAGCAAGGTGATTCATTTGATGTGACTTGCCTGAATTGAGATCAGGCGTAACGCGGCGTATCCTGTGTCGCATGCCTCGTCTCACAAACCTCATCCGCCTTCTCCTCCTCAGGCAGACGCGCTGCGGTAGCAGTGCTGTGATGGTGACTGGAAGAATTGTTTCCGCGAGCTGAGATTGGTGCTGCACCTCTGCAGAAAAGGCGAGGGGTCGGCCCAATGTTCCTTCCCATTCACCGTGCTGGCGGACCGAGAAGCGAGTGTTTGAGAGACGCCGCGGCGAGCTGATGCGTCGTGCACTGCTCTGGCTGTGTTGGGATCAGGAGGGTCTGCCTGGTGACTTACGCATTGTCTGGGTAGCTATCCAGCGTAGTGCCCATTCTCTTAGTCATCCCCGCTCAAGTCAAAGAACAGCTGTCAAGTTCTTTGCTCAGGCCCGCAGCCTGTGGCCCCTCCGTGCCGAGTCGGTCCCGAGCTGGCGGCGCGGTTGCCCTCAAAGATGACGGCGACCGAGGGGCCCGAGATCGCGCCCGCCTCGGCGGCGCCATTCGCCTCCTTCCAAATAGTGCAGCCGGAGGTGCCCCAGACTCTCGCGAGGCACCAGGTGAAGAGGCCACCGCCAGGCATAGAGTCCACGGACTTTGACCTCTACGAGAGCAAGCAGTATGTCGAGCACGCCACGGCCATCAGCAGTGCGGGCCGCAGGCTCCACGCGGCCGTGCGGTGGCTGCTAGTTGTGAGCATCGGGATTTGCACGGGCGTCGTCGCGATTTTCATCGACCTCGGCGTGGAGAAGCTGGTCGGCATTCGGGGGGATGTCAATACTGCACTGAGGGGGCGATCCATCGCGTTGCAGTATGCAGGGTTCGTCGGCTGCTGCCTCCTCTTCGTGGCCATCCCGGGCTTCATGGTCTGCTTCGTGGAGCCCCTGGCCGCCGGCAGCGGCATTCCCGAGGTGAAGTGCTTCTTGAATGGCGTCCACCTCCCGAGGGTTGTCGACCTGAAGACCCTGTTGGTGAAGGCGCCGGGGGTGCTGTTCAGCGTGGCGGCGGGCATGCCCTGCGGCAAGGAGGGCCCCATGATCCACAGCGGTGCCTGCATCGGCGGCGTCATCGGCCGAAAAGGGGCGGGCCCGCTGATGCGCTCGTTCCGCACGGACATCGAGACCAGAGACTTGGTAGCGGCAGGCGCCTCGTCGGGCGTCGCCGCTGCGTTCGGTGCGCCGCTGGGCGGCGTCCTCTTCGCCATGGAGGAAGGCGCGTCCTTCTTCACGCCCGTGGTCATGCTGCGGTCGTTTGTGTGCTGCACCACCGCAGCGCTCTTGGTGCGCTTCATGCTGGCTGGGATCAAGGGGAATTGGGGACAGATGGGACAGGCGGCGCCGCTGAGCTTCGACTACTTCAGCCAATCGGCCTACCGCATCTGGGAAATGCCTGTCTTCGCTCTCATGGGCGTAGTCGGCGGCCTCTGCGGCGCTGGATTCAACACGGTCAACACCCATCTGACCAAGTGGCGGATGAGGAATATTGGTGGCACCGGTATCAAGCGGTATTTGGAAGTGTTTGTGGTCACGTTCATTGTGACTTCAATCATGTTCTGGATGCCGGTGTGCTTTTCTGGTGATAATGACCCCTCCAAGTTCTCGATGGCGGCGAAGCTTTTCAGAGAGCCAGGCACCGTCAGCATCAAGAGATTATTCCATGTGCACCAGAACATCACCAGCGCGACGTCCGAGAGCAGTGATCCCCAAGCATCATTGGACGAGTGGGAGTTGTTCGCGTTCTTCATATTGTACTACGGTCTCGCTTGCTTGACCTACGGCCTCGGAGTACCAAGCGGCCTCTTCGTGCCCTCGCTGCTCACTGGTGCCGCCTTCGGGCGCTTGATCGGGGAGCTGGTCAAGGAGCCCTTTGGCTGTAGATGGGACGACCCTGGCACGACCGACCCTGGCGTGTATGCCTTGATGGGGGCGACGGCGATGCTGTCTGGGATGGCTAGGATCACAGTGTCCCTGGCCGTCATACTGATGGAGGCCTCTGGCTCGGTTCAGTGGGCTCTCCCCATCTTCGTGACGTGCGTGTGCTCCAAGTGGGCCGGTGACCTGTTCACGATCGGCCTGTATGACATCCACATCGAGCTGAAGCACGTCCCACTGCTCGAGGCGGCCCCAGAGCGGGAGGCGATCACCGTGTCAGCGCGCGACGTGATGGCCAAAGACCTCGTCACAGTGTCACCGCTGGAGACTGTGAGGAGAATACTGCAGGTGCTAGAAGACTGCAGCCATGGCGCGTTCCCGGTGGTCCTCAGCAGCGGCGTCTTCGTTGGCCTTCTGAAAAGGGATACGCTGGTGCAGGTGCTGCGGCGCGGCAAGGCCTACGGTGTTTTGTGCGACCGTGCTCAGGCTGGCGCCAGCAGCGCGCAGACCATTCCGTTCAAGGAGGAGCGGACGATCTGGAACCTCGAGGCGATCAAAGCAGCGCTCGTCGAGGAGGACTATGCTAAGGTGGTGGACCTGCGACCCTATGTGAATCAGGGGTGCTACACCGTGCCGGAGCACGCGTGCCTGTCTCGGGTGCACATGCTCTTCCGAGGCATGGGTTTGCGGCATTTGCCTGTGGTCAAGGAGGGCGGCATCGCATGTGGTGTCATCACGCGCAAGGACCTCATCCTCACGGAGCACGCACATCTTGGCCCGCGCAGTCCGGCCGGCCCGTTGTCGTTGATCGGTTCGGAGACGTTGCTGAGGGACCGCTCTCCCGACGTGTGA